GAGAGAGAGAGAGAGAGAGAGAGAGAGAGAGAGAGCTGAAAAACTGAAATGAGGCACCCATTTGTTTTTTATTCTGTTTGGGGAGGGGGCAGGCTATAGTTATGCCCCCTCTCAACCCCTTAGATGGGAAAGAGCGAGCTGGGTAATTAACTCTCCACTCCTAGGGGTGTGAAGTCATCATCCCAGCTACAGTTAAGAAATCTGAGAATTGGGTTTCTCAGATGCTACACTAAAAAACCTTTTCTCATGAAACAAGTGTGGGAAAAGGCTCCTTTTCTGGTAAAATACTTTCTGGCAAGTATTTTTGTAGAAAAGAAATGTGTGCTTAACGTCATAAGAAGGTCCTTTGAAAAGAATAAGGGAGGCTGGACCATAGCCAATATGGAAGTCCTTTCCACCATCTCCCTAGGTCTTATTGATTTACCCCCAAAACAAAGCCTTCTTTACTTGGTCAAGGAATAGCAAAAGTTCAATCTAGAGAAAAATTGACTGATTCTGGCTGTACCCAGAATTGAAGGTGCTACGGCAAGGTGTTCATTCCAGAACACTATCCAAACCAGTTTTGGATCACATATGCCATCCTACTTTGGACAACTACAACACCAGGTAATAGCATATCTCATCCTCTCTACTTGGAAAGACCGAAGCTTGCATCAACTGATGCTACAATGGTGGTCCTCTTGTGAGGTCGAGCGATGGGCCAGCTTTAGACAATGTTTAAAGTTGAAGTTGACATCAACTGATGCTATAATGGTGGTCCTCTCATGAGGTCAAGCGATGGGCCAGCTTTAGACTATGTTTAAAGTTGCAGTTGCTCAAAGAAGAACCAAAAATCCAGAATCAGGAGCGCTTTGGTGATGGGTGGATTGTCCAAACATTGATCCCAATATGGATGGGCTATATTGGCAATCTAGATGGGCTAGATCAATGATCCAGCAAAAAAAGAAGAGAAAAACAAAGAAATGTTATATAATATACAATATATGTGTTTTTAATCACCTAGCAAGGATGGTGGCAGTGACTAAGGGGTCTTGTTGTTTCCTAAGCCGTGGAGGTTCAACCCTCACACCACAATTCCTATTTGTTAATGTTAATAAGAAAAAGCATTAATTATTAAAATAAATAAATAAAGAGGTTCAATGAATGCTAGGGGAAAAGTTTTTAGATTTTATAAAAGGTAGAGTTCCGGGAGGGATTCAAACCCCCAACCAAGCATTAATTTTCTCAGTCCTAGCCAACTACGCTATTTAACTTAATAGCTTAGTTGGTATAGTATTAACTATTATATAATATATATTTAAAAAAAAAAGAAGAAAACAATTCGTACTCAGAATTGGCATAGTGTTCAGCTACTTGCAAAGTGGACCAGTAATTCCTTATCCGAATTGGCGATTTTTTGAACATGGGTTTTGACTAAGAAAGAGGCTTTAATGGCAGAAACCGATGACCTAGATCTGCTCAAAGAAACTAGGGTCCTAAATCAGGAGGAGAGAACTAGAGAGTTGCAGCAGAAGACGTCAGAATCTGAACTGCAATATACTCTGAAACAAGAAGGCATCCACCTGTATCAGAGAATGAGAACCAAGTGGCTGAAAGAGGGGGATAATAAGACTTCTTCCAATGATCAGTAAGTTGCAGAAGTATGGAGATCTCTATTCATTATATAAAAGGTAGGACAATATAAGATGATCTGGTGGAAGTTTGCAGGGATCATTTGAGAATATTTTAAAAAACTCTTCTCTGCAAAAAACATCACATGATAATCACTTCAAACCTCTAGTTTCAAAAGATTTTTGAAGAGCGTGCTGCTGGGCTTGAACTCCCCTTCACAGAAACTGAAGCAATCAAAACAATAACAGAGCTTGGTCAAGGAAAACCTCTAGTTTCAAAAGATTTTTGAAGAGCTTGCTGCTGGGCTTGAACTCCCCTTCACAGAAACTGAAGCAATCAAAGCAATAACAGAGCTTGTAAGGGAAATCCCCAGGGCCTGATGAGATTTCTGTGGCTCTATGTTATCCGTTTCAAGAGCATTTAGGGGTTGGTGTTTTAGTTATGCTCAATGATTTTCATCTGCTTCTGTCCGAAAGATCAGAAGTGCTGAAGAATTGAAGGATTTCTGACCAACTACTTAGTCAATAGCTTACACAAAATCCTATCAGATGTCCTAGTTCCTAAACCAGGTGATCTTCCCACACCAAAATGCTTTCATCCAAGATAGGAAAATTCTCGATTAGGCACATGTCGCACTTGAATATATCAATTAGCATCATCAAACAGAGAAACTAGAAGTGATATGTAAGTTGGACTTTGATGAAGCTTACAAGGGAATCTGGCACTCAGTAATGTTCAAGTTGCTCTTCAGCTCAAAATGGCGTGCTTGGATGGCTGGGTGCCTATCCATTGCAAATTTCTTTGTACTCTTCAATGGGAGACCCTATAATTATTCTTTCTTCAAGGGCCTGCCCCAAGGCGAACCACCATCCCTGTTCCCCTTTGGCATCATCTCTGAGGCCTTCAGCAATCATCTCAAATTTGTATAGCAGCTTCTTAAGTTTATTTTGCCAGGTCAAGCTGGAGGGTTTCAATTTGCCCCAAAGTGGTTCAATCTTCATCCACTAGCAATAGGCAGACAATATGCTTATGTTATGTTAAAAAGTGAGAGAGAGAGAGAGTAGTAACAAAAGCCACAGACTCTCCCATTTCTCAAGAGAGAGAAAGGACTAGTTCAATAGAGAGGGAATTGTTGAAACAAGAGAGTAAGATGAACTAAACACATGCACAAAGCACAACAAACACACATGCACAACATAAAGGGGGGATTTAGAGAGAGACTGAGGGACTAGTTAAAGAGAGAGAGGATTGGTTTGAGAGAGAGAGTAATAACACACCTACTAAGCCCCCATTTTCCAAGAAAGAGAGGACTGGTTCAAGGGAGAGAATGGTTGAAGAAAGAAGAATAAAGTGCACACACAACACAACATAAACATGTACATAACATAATCTCTATGTAAAACACACACCACAACACACATACATGGCATAATCTCTGAATCTCACATAGACACACATACACACCTAGAGCACACCACAAGGTGCACACAAAGCATTCCAGGTGGGTGCCTTAACCAAGTCACTTGGTGCGTGCCTATTAGGCTGCCATCCAGGGCAGCAGCCTGGGCCTCAGTGGAGCATTGTGGCATTGAGGCCCTGCCTAGGTAGACTTCCAAGGCAGGGTGCGCTTTAATACACTGGTCAATACTTACGATTAATTTGAGATCTCTCCAATTATCTTTGCATATGTATCCATTATCAAATTTATTATAATGGACAACTTTATTTCCCAGGGAGTGGCTGCTGGTGACCTAGATTGGAATTCCCTGTTGCAAGCCCATTTTGAAGCTGTCCCAATGAGCATACCAATAATAGTACTTGCATTTGTGTATCAGGTGAGGTTCTTGAAATTGACTGCATTCAAATTTAAAGTCTGCTAACACTTCACTGCCAGTGTGTTTCAGAATGTTGTACCAGTTCTTTGTACAAATCTTGAAGGCGGCTTGTCGAAAGTAAGGTGACAATTCAATTCATTAGATTTTGATTGACCAATTCATCAATGCAATATATGGTATAGGAAAATGTGTGGACATTGGAAACCAAAGTCATGTGGGATATTCGTCGCAATTGGATAAAACGCACAGTGATGATGTGTGGGACCTAACATGGGGGCATGGCTTATTTTAATGGCTCTCACACTTTCTCCATCAGCACCCATCATTTCATTCGATGGCGATGGCCCCAATGGACAAACATTTTCATTATTTTATGTCTATAGTATTGGAAACCACTTTCCATGCCTGGTCTTTGTGAAATCTTAAGACTGCCTACAAAATACACATTAACACATTCTATTCACACTAAGTGATTGAGAACAAGATCAAATAACGACTAAGACTATTCTTAATGTAACCAAATTCTCTATAAAACCACCTGCTGTGACCAATAGGGTATCAGCATGTTACTGTAATATGTTATAGGGTGGTTTTTAAACTTAAGATTACTCATAAGGCTCATCTAAGACACATGATGAAAAAAGCAGAAGCCCTCACACTATCTGCCGGTGGGTTTCTAAATTATAATTCTTCTTTGAACTACAATTCTTAACACCAATTTCCACATCTATACCAAAATTATTTCGTAGAAATTCTTTGGCTTCCTTTTCTTGTACAGGGTGACTTGTTTAGTAATTGGTATCCATATCTATTTTCAGAACATCCATTGTACTAGGAACTGCTATTCCACTGATTTTGTTTCTTTTGTGGGATGCCGTGATTCTTGGGACCATTTTAAATCTTGATACAAATGGGAATCTGGCCACAGACCCATTGGAGCAATTGCGAGCCAGCAATGGAGTGGTTGGAGTGAGTTGTTCAATAGTCAACCTTGTCTTTAAGTTTCCAGTTTAGAATGAATAAGAAAGTATTCTATTTCATTTTCTCTTAACTTTAACTCTATTGAGTTCAATACTCGAATGCAGCCAATAGTGGAGACATTCTCATTCCTTGCTATATCAACCTCATACATTGGTTTCGTTTTGGGCCTCACGGACTTCTTATCTGATCGTAAGTGCTTGCTCACCACTAAATATTAATAGCGATTAGAGTAACTTTACTTTCTTTCAGTGATCACGACCCAATGTGATAGTCCATAATTACGATAATGCTGTTGGATCCTCTCTCTCTCTCTCTCAAAATCCATATAAAATCTGTATTATGATCTTCATTCGCATGTGTGGATTTCCAGTGCTGAAACTACCCAGTGGTGAGAGCAAACCTCTTCCATACGTGTTGACTATAGTGCCACCTCTGGTGCTATCATTGCTGGATCCAGACATCTTTTTTAAGGCCTTGGACTTTGCAGGAACTTATGGAGGTAATTTCTCTGTAGTAATCAGTCTAGCTTAATGATCTCTAAGCTTTAACTTTGCTTTAGATGCGAATCAAGGAAGAAAGAAAAAGTATAATTGCAGCAAACTTAAATCGATCAATATGTAAAATTCCTTGATATTTGCAGTTCTAGTTCTGTTTGGTATTCTCCCAGCTGCCATGTCTTGGTCAGAGAAGTATGGTGATGGTTCGTCATCAATCAAACTCCCCCCACTTGTTCCTGGTGGCAGAATTACTCTCTCTCTTGTATTGGGTGGGGCACTATGGGTTATTTTCTCAGAAATACTCAAGAAATTCTCCTCATATTGATGATAAGTCTCAGTTTTGACATCACTCAAGCAGTAAGGATGGTAAAGAGTATATATGTCGTAAGTGGAGTCATGCATGAAGTTGTAGGGAATATTAATGGATGGCTTAGATCAAATTATATGCATTGTAATATGCCATTAGGGCTGTCAGATTGAGCGGAGCAGATCGCAATCGTCCAGATTGCCATTTTTGAGGACCCTTTTTTCTTGGAAATTCTTTGTACAGGCCACAAATGATGGACCTATTCTTTTTATTTAACAATATGAAACTTTTAACATCGTATTATATCTGCACAACAAGTCTCCTAATTTTATTTTATTTTTTGTGCTAATTTCCCAAAAACTTAGTGATTGATGTTTCAAGAAAATTAGCTAATCCTTATGTAAATTGGAGGGCCTTCATTTGAAGGGTATTTATGCAAAGATTTGCTGAAATCTATTGTTGCAGACATAACATTCAATTATTTCAGAAGTGCCTAGTTGAAGAATGATTTTTTTTTTCTTTTTTCTGGAAATTTGTTACGATGTAATTTATGCTCCTTTCTTTTACAATACGCTTTCATTTCTTTGGTAATTTTACAATAGAGTTCCTCAATTTACATTATCTTTTATTGCTTGGGTCTAGGTTTTGAAAACGAAAAATAGTGGTCACCAAGAGTACTGTACGCACTAACAGAGTAGGGAATTTTACAGAAAAATCCTATTTTATTTTTGAAATTGGAAACTTGTTTCATATATTTTATATTTTACACAATTTCTATTTATTTAGGAGCATATAGTGTGCAGTGGTATGTAATACTTCTCATCATCATGCATCCATAAAAATATTTTGAAAATAATTGAAAGATAATAAAAAACAAAATACCTCTATAGTATTTGGGTTTTTTTGGTAATATTATTTATTTTAAATTATTTTTTAAGTTTTTACTGTGTATGATGATGAGAAGTATGGATGTACAAAATTTGAATTCAATTAGATGTATACAAAAAAAAATAATAATTAAAGTACATCATATGCTCTTAAAAAGTAGGACTTGAGGTAAATTATGAAATATGTGGTAGTATTTCTGAATTCTGAAAATAAAATAGGGTTTTTATGTAAAATTGTCAAAAGAAAAAGGCGCAAAGGGCAAGTTAAATAGTAGTAGGGGAGAAAGGAAAAGATTGTAAGGGGACAAAAAAATATAATCGGTTTAAAAACAAAATTCCCAAAATGCTATTCCATTTTAAAATCAACATCTTCATTAATATGTCATTTTAAAACTAATGGCCATTTTTCCCATTTTCATTGGGGTTTCAATTTGAAAAACTCGAAACATGTTATAACGGCTTGTACACGGATATGTTGTGCCCATTATTTTTAATAAAATGCTACTATTTTCTACCCTTCTAAAAGGGAAAAGGTTATACAATGGTAAGGCTTTAAACAAGTAAGGCGCACCTGAAAAATTCATTAGAAAATGTTGTTTTGATACTGAAAACCCCTCAATTCAGTCATCTAGACCTCAAGATGATGGACCTAATGCCTAAGCCTTCAAAATAGTGCATCTTGCAATGTATTATCTAAACCATCAATTTTTAGGATTTTTAAGTATTTATAGATTTGTTTAATTTACATAATTTTTTAATATTTAAATTTTGTAATTAGATAGGAAAATAAATTCTTAAGACATCACAAAAAATTTTGATACTAAAACAACATATTTCGGCACTAATTAAAGGTGCACCTTACATTGATTATTTTAGGCCTCAGCTTTATCCAAACCACACCTGTGCTAACGACAGGTATTCTATTCTACGCTCTACATGAATGTTAAACCACTGATTAATCAGTGCTACACTGACAAGGGGGATTATTTTCACTTTACAAACCTACAGTATGGAAAAGGGGCTGAGGTCGTGGTGATAGCACACCACACCCCATACTTCAGTTGTACATTGTGCTTTCCATTCCCACTGACAGCTTAAAAAGCCACCAACTAATTTAAAACGGATAGGAGCTATCTTCCCCATTGAATTATCCAAAAAAAAAAAACCATGATGTCACCTTGATAACATCCATAATTTTCATGGTGTCGCCTTGATAACGACCGTTATTTTCACGTTGACACCAAAGGAATCATATTATGCTTTGGGCGATGTAGATTGACTCATGGGTCTGGTCTTGGAGCCAAAGGGTTGGGTGCCAGGTCGGGTAGAGATTGGATTCCTATTTACAGGTCTAAAAGATTTCTGGACTTGACAATGCTGACCTTGGACTTTGTCAGGGTTCCCATTTACAGGCCTAAAAGATGTGGAAGATTAAATTATGGAATGACTTATAAATACCAATGATTTAAAAATCACTGGGTCAGCACGGAATCGTTCAGTCCGACCCAGGAACCTGTCACCCTGTACTGATTCTGTCAATATAAGGAAATCCTCTAAGTCTAAAAGATAATCAATGATTTTCTACAATAAAACTGCGTTTTGCTACAGCAAAAAATGCCGATTCATCAATCCGGACCGGTTCTTGGCTGGTTCAATATTTTTGCACATGTTTTTTGCCAGTTCACTATTTTTTGGCATAATAAAAAGGTGATCCGGACTGCTGATTCACTGATCCGAACAGGTTTTTATGATGCCCGATCCTAGTCACTTATCTATATTTAAATCACTGGTAAATACCATTGTTTAAAACAATCCTTACCAAAAACCACATTCTACTTTTCATTTTTCCTAGATAAGTCGTTATATTGGGATATTACATGTTACCCATTCAAAGCATGGACAAATCAGCCATGTAAGAGCTGACTTTCCTTGAACGAGTTATTTTGTGTGTTCGTGTTGGGATCTTTTTGCATAGCATGCTTCCATGGATATATATTGAGTATTTGAAAATTTAACGATGAGTTTTGTACATCTATTTATTTATGGTAAATGTTTTGATATATCTCGGCCTTGACCTTGACCATCTAATTGTCCTAAAAATAGTGTACAGTAACGCATTATCTAAACCATTCATTTTGCCCGAAAAAAATGTACATGGATCCACAAGATAGGTGAAAAAATAGTAGATGGATCCACAAAATATATATCCCTTTTTTAGCTTTAAATTTCATTGTCGATGTTAGAAATTGATTTTAGAACCATCATCTTTTTGAACACGGATTTTTACTTTGTTTTCATTAAGCATAAGCCTTGTAGCAACTGCATAAATCACTAAGTTCCCTAAATTAGGAAAGGGGTTCTAATGAGACAATCAAAATACTGTAAAAAAAACGCGTTGAAGGCCATCAAAAGCACAACATGCTAAAGATTTTAGCTGCCAAATTCAATAAAAAACACCAAATCACAACTAAAATACTTCCTACGGATCTTCTCTAATTTTTATTTGGAAATGATTATGATGGCTCCTCGTTTCTTACCATTCATTTTTATTCCGATATTTTATTTGAAATACCCATATGCCCATCTTTTTTATTTTGATTTCTCTAAATATTTTGACATGTTTCACTCAACCATGTGAAAAATCGAACCATTGTGCCAAATGTTCTCTTTAATTTATTTTTTTATGGTGTAAAGAAACTTGAACTTGGTTTCCATTATCATAACTGATTCTACTTATCAGATGCCTAACCCCCATAAACTTTACAAAATTTATGACAAACTTTTTTTTATAAAGTAAAGCCTGTATAGTTGGAAACTTGAAATCAAGCCCTGTGTTCACTAATAATCACCATGCTTCCTAAAAAAAAAATTTATTAATTAAAGGGTACGATTTGTATAAAGCTGATGCTCTAAACAATCAAGGTAAATCTCACTTTCAAATAGTGTCGAGAAATGTAGTTTCAATACTGGAAATCTTTGTGATAGCCTTAAAAATATATTTCATCTTTGATTATAAAATTTACTGCTTCAAAAATATTGTAGATCCAACAAATCTACGAAAACTTGAAAATCTTGAAAATTGACTGTCCAAAAATGCATTACATGATGCACTATTTCCAAAACTTGAAATCCAGTTTTTTCTCATGTCCACACATCTTGAGATCGAGATGATTAATTTGACGATATTTGAGCATCAAAATAACCTCTTCTAATAAAAATTTTAAGATGCACCCTAATTCGATTGTTTAGAGCCCCGCACTTATATAAACTTTTTCCTTAATTAAATTAGAATAAAAAATTTCTTATAACCTCTACCCACTTGATGAGTCCAGTTAAATTAGGTTAGACGAGTTTTGCTAACTCAAAATCAGTTTTTATTCAGTGGCTATGAAATATTTCCTATCTTTAATTTCAAAGAGAGAGAGACAGAGAGAGATTCAGGTTGATGCATAGATGTATTGCATTGGCCTAAGGAGTACTCAAGGTGGACTCGTTATCTTGTTTTGATGTTTGACGTACATTCATCATATTGTCCAATATAAATATTTTTCATAAAATGATGTGGAAGTAAAATGTCAATTATCTTGGGAAGATCAAAATGTATGTGTGAAATGAACTATTTTAACAATTCTTCATGTCTTTTGATTTATTTCAAAAATCCTATCAAAATATAGATCATACATGGTCTGGTCTTGACGGAACAATTGAAAAGGTATAAAATGTTAAAAAGGAAAATTGTTTCATACAGGCCGGACCACATTTCTACAATATGCCATCCCAAGTTATAAATCATTCATCTTAAAAATGGATGCAAATAGGTAGTCCATCTAAACACAACTGAAACTAACGATCCAAATGTTTTCTTCATAAAATTATATTTTTAATTTTCAAAATTTATTTATTTTTTCATATTCATGATGATATGTTAGAGATTACATGTCCTTAAAAATTAAATCCAAAAATCCATTTCAAAAATAGATTTTTAAGAGGTGCCTCATTTCTACATGGCCTCAAAAACCTTGTCTAATGTTAAATAATTGATAAGTTTTTGTGCATTTTGATAAATTTCCCTATTATCCTAATTTTCAAAAAATAATTAGTTAAGCCACATGTAAGCAAAGAAGTTTTTTATGTTTTAATCATATATCTTTTTCTTTTTTATGTTTTAATCATATATCTTTTTCTTTTTTCTTTACTTTTTACACTATCAGCTCCAAAAAGTACAATCGTAGCAAAAAATAAATAAATTAAAAGATGTTTTAAAATTGTTATTATAAACGTGGTAATAGCAACATTTTCAATACCCAGTCAATAGTAATAGACTGGTGCATTTCGAGCTCAACCACACCGAAAGCAGCATCCAAAGAAGCCAACAGAACAAGTTAAGAATGCCGCCTCAGCAGCATCGAAACGGCATCCAGATGAGCCCTAAAGAAAGTGAGAATGGTGAATTGTTGGGGCAGGTAAATACGGAAAACATTGCCTGTAATACAGGCCAAACCCCTTCTTTTTCACCGTGGAGAAAGAGTTACAACATCACATATGCAACAAAGGAGAGGACTGCCACCTCTGTGGCTTTGACCTCAAATACAACACAGCCTGCTGAGATACACCGAAAATATATCGCGTATATACACAGAAAAATACCAACCTTCAAAGTGGCAGCAGGTTTTCACCCACATCGGCTATTCTTGTATGTGATTCAAGAACAGAAACCACCGGGTCGCTTTGCAACCTGAGGTGGGGCCTTTGAGACAAAACTGCTCCCATCTCACCTCAAATTACACAGTAATAAAGCACCCCATGACGACAAGGCGACAAGCACCAATGAGACACTCATCCTGGTAGTAGACGCTGCAAAGCATAGAAACCCAACATCACATCAATAAAGAGCTCTCTCTCACTCTCTCTCTCTAATCAGATATTGGCTATTTATATATAGGATGCAGATCAAGAAGGTAAAAAAAAAGAAAAAAGACGAAGAAAATCAACCTTTTCTAAAAAGAAAAGAAGAGAGCAATCAACTAAAAAATGTCCAGAAATGTGGACAATATGTTTAGGGAAAGGTTTCTATACTTCCCCTACAGCATAGAAGATCTATGCTTCCCCTACCATCCAGCCGTCCAATTTTGATCAAGAGAGCCACCTACCGTTTGATCTTAGATCCGACGTCTCAAAGTATTTTATTTTTAGTTTTTTTTTATACAAATTGTATGAATATGAAATTTGGTACGTATCATCTTCTCATAGGGGCGCACCTATAAAAAATATTAAAAATAATTTTTCAATAAAATATAATGACCAAAATACCCCTTGAAACTTTTAGAAGTATTTGGTCATTTTATTTTATTAAAAATATTGTTTTTATATTTTTTGCTAGTGCGAGTTTAATAGAGGATTGGACGTCCATAATTTGGTGTCAAAATAGATTATAGAAAAAAAAATTAAAATTAAAATAGTGTAGAGACTTTACATTGTGATTGGCGCAATCTTAGCCCTCCATTCAGAATGGATGGTTGGATAAGGGGAAGTATATAAGTTTTATGCTGTAGGGGAAGCATAGAAAGCTTGCCCATATGTTTATTCATCAGTCATGGTATGACATATAACAGGGTTAAAAACTAATTTGGAGTACAAACAGAAAAAATTAAAACCCACCCACCTAGTAGAAATACTTCTCTATTTCCATTTAGGAGTAATTAAGAAATTCATGCAAGAATTTGCAAATCCTCGTCTAAGTAGAAAACCAGCAAGAGCAACCTTGACCGCTTTGAAAATGACAGAAAGAACCTGATGCTTCATAATGAAGAGTTTTCCCCATTTTATTGTGAACATCGATTATCATCTCAGCACCAAAATGAGAAGCAGAATAAACTAACAATTAAGAAAGATTCATCACTGATTATAGGAACCATGGGAAAACCGTTTTACTGAACTTCATCACCAGCCAATCTTTGGCCCTTAGCAAAGTCCATTTAATGGTTAGTTGGCCAATTAAGCCACTATTCACACCAAAAGGGTACTCTGCTCATTAAATATTGGAAAAGTGAAAATCCTCCTCTTCTTTTGATTGGTAACTCGAATCCTTTCTTTTTAAACGACTTTTTCAGAAACAAGTATTACTTGGCATTTGGCACAATATTTTTAGTGCTGAAATCCTGATTCCCCAATAGGAAAAATATATAATATGATCCATGTGGTCATCATAGTAACAAACATGAACTATGGGTTCACCATCATCTAATCAAATGGTTGGACAGAGAAGGAGTAGGACACCATGCCACCAAGGCCATAAACTATTTGCAAAAAGTAGGGGCATACAATTCAAACTGTTTGTAGAAAGTAGGGGCATAAAATTCATTAATTAAATTGTATGGTGGGATTTACTACCCTCTGACAGTGTCCAACCCATTAACAGAACAGTGATAACCTCAAGGTGATGGGATTGTGATCACTATATGATCATATTCTATAGGCCCTCCCCAATATCTCAAACCTTGGCTGAAAGCCTGAGATAAGGTGATTTCGAACCAAATCTCAGGTAAGTATAAAAACTTAAAATTTTCACATATTTTTTAAGAAATTACTTATCTTTTTTCCTCTGAAGGGTAAGTTAAACTAATTTCATTCTTTCCGCAATTACAAATTCCAAAGCATCAGCTTCAGCCATCAACAAAGCATAAACGTCAACCCAAATATAAGAATCAATGGCCATCATACACATCTGGGGGGCGAATGTGTGCTTTCTAAACATGGATGATAGAGACGAATAATCATGCTAATGATGAACATTCAACCCACAAGTATAGTTTCATTTCCACTGCCCATCTTGATAGTGAACTATCGATGCCCTAGATGCATATTGCATACCATACCTTAGCAAAAATCCAAACTCTAGGCCCACTGCCAATCAGCTTTCAAAAAAATCAATCACTTTCCACAAACCTCACATAAGCAAATTAAAGTAATAAATAAACAAGAATTTATACTTTGATGGTTAAAATAACTGAACAAGAATTACTCACCCGAAGATGGCAATGGCGCGAAAGCTGAGGAGGCAGGTGGTATAGTGCTGGCACCCTGAGGAGGTATAACACGTGCAAAGAACACTGCAGGCAGTGGTGAAGGTCCTGCAAGCAAGTCGGAAGAGGGGGGCACAGGAGGGTGAGCTCCATGCCTTTTCTTGGGCTGCAAATCGCCACAAGGGGGAAAAGCTGGAAAATGAATGTCTCCTTGACCCCCTTTCCAGGCTCCATTTCTCGGCCGCCTAGTACTATACTCGGGCGATGTGAAGGGTGGTGGGGCCACCTTGTGATTGCGAGGAATAGATGAATAGCGAGGAAAAGAATAAGAAGAGTGAGGAGGAGAAGCTTGGGATGACTGAGCAGCTTGACCATCGTGGTGGCAATGGTGAGAGTGAGAGTGATGGTGATGGTGGTGGTGATGGTGATGGTGGTGGTGGTGGTGGTGGTGGTGGTGGTGGTGTGGTGGTGGTGGCGAGCCTTGATATTGGGGTGATGGAGCCGGGCTCGTGCTATTATTGAGAGAGTGTTGAAGAAAGGAGGAGAGCTGGATTTGCTTCACTTTACCAAAGACAGAATGATCAAGCCCTAGGTTTTTGGCTGGAGAGCCAGTGATGGTTTGGGCCAACTGTTTTAGCCTTGGCTGGGCAAGTGGGAGGTTGCGGACTGTACGCACAATTGATGCCTGAACTATGATTGGAGGAGCCACCGTGGAACCATTCAAATTGGTCAATTCAACATATAGATTCTGCAGAAATGAGAAATCAATGGTGAGTTCTTTAGGTAAAGATTCACCCAAAAAAGAAGTTTATTTTTTAAAGACCATCAGGATGATTAGGAAGTTTGTGTGGGGTTGTATGTTCTGTCTTTTTTATTCTCTGGGGGGTGGAGGTAGTTGGGTTTGGGTGGTTGCAAGATACATGAGGAACCATCTAAGACATCGTCTGGATAATCATTATATCATTATACCCAATAGCAAAGCTAGAAAGACTTCTGAAGTTGAAGAGGCTTTTCTGCTATTTTGAGGCAAAAGTTTGGGACTGCTTTTCTGCCCCCTGAGGGAGTGCTTTCACATATAGCACAGGAACTACAACATTCCCTCCTAGGAGTGCTTCACAACAGGAAAAAAGCCCTTGCCTATTTGGGCGTTGTCCAACATCTGGCCACATGGTACTATAGTACAAACTGGAGGTCCATTCAAAAGCATTGTCGGTTTCAGAATAGTGTATAGCAACTTATGACAGTTCAGTGCATTTAAAAGTATTCACAATTTCATTTCCTTATTTTAGAAGGGGACTGGATAAAGAATAGAAATAATTGAACTTGTTTGTAACATGTAATTACACCAAGGAATACAGTGCTCTGGAAATCATGAGAGAGTGATAAGGTACCCCAAGTTAATAACGAAATTCATGGATACTTGGGTCCAACTTGAGTTTGAAGGCAGCGAGGCCATCAACAAAATATCATAATTGATTATACTGCTTTGAGATAAATGAATACAAGTCCTTGCTTAAAAATACTTAGAGAAGTGAATATATTTACTATAAAAATGAAAACTGCCCTTCACAAATAGTTACGAGCATGCTGATCATATATGAGAACAAGAGACAAGAAGAAGCCTACTTTGGGTTGGAAAGGAAGCAAGGGACATCACACTTGTTTCTAATGTTTCAAGATTATAATATTTTTTACTTTTAGTCTTTTGCAAAAGCTAATTGAGAAAAAGCGTGTTTCTACCATTTCAATATAAATAGTATTATGGACAGTTAATGTTTCACGATTATAATATTTATGACTTTTAGTCTTTTGCAAAAGTTAATTGAGAAAAAGCATGTGCTTCTACCATTTCAATATAAATAAGTAGCTTTACTAGTAAGAAAGGAAATCGCCTCCCAAGATAAATAGGGGCATGTTGTACATATATGCAAATAAGAGATGCTGTAAATCAAAGAGCAATAGATAATCTAGAACAACAACCACTGATGTAAACCAACTACAAAATCGAAAGAGCTACAGGAAAGCAACATGGACCAAATCAACTTCTAAGCCAGCCATAACCTCCTTGAATCTAGACCAAAACTCTGAAGTCTTTCTAGGAGATGGTCTTATCCAGAATTATTCACACTTATTATTATAGTTAGGAGTAGTAAGGTTACCTTTCCTTTCATCAAATGAGTAGCAAAACTGCTTTCCATGGAAGAAACGTAAGCTTTTTCATTTTAAAAATCAATAATCTTTTTGACCATTTATTTAAAAAGCCAACCAATCAGACATTTTGACATTTGACGAATATGTTATACGAAATAAAGACAATCATTTCAACATAAACAAATTAATCATATATCACTAGCCCATAAGCCTGCAATCAGAAAATAATCTGGAGAAAAGTCAGACCTCATAAGACTCAAGATGCAGCCCACTCTTCAACTGGTTCTTTAACTCATCAAGATTCTCTTGAATCTGATATACAGAATTATTTAAGGTGAAGTTGAAAAGAATCTGCACTTGCTGCAAAAGAAATGCATTTTGAGGAGGGACAACTGTTATGCCACCAGGATACCTCAACACCTGGAAAAAGGAAGGGGATCCAAATATGGATGGCGTCAAGATTAGTTTGGACTGCTCTAAAACCAATTCCACAAAAGAGGCCCTTAATATGCTCAACCCAGCAGAAGATATAGTTGTGTTCTTGGTAGATGGAAGGACCCCAAACACCACATTAGTCCAATTTGACCCAGGCAACTGTTCAAGAGATAATATGACCACCTGGATAAGTACAGATAATTAGAACCGAGAATAAGACAGTAAACCACTAGAAGAGAAATATAGAATAACCACCAGAATCTGTAGAATGTTAGACCATTATAAAAAGAGCAAGTTAAAAAATAATTGTTGGCAGTTGGCCAGTAGGAGAAGAAAATTACCCTGGAGTCTGTGACACCTATTTCTTCGAGGATGTCATACTCAAGCCTTGGGATGTTTGCATTCAGAAACAAGACTGATTTTTCAAGTTTAAAGCTTGCTTCTATCGTAGCTGAAAAAGGAAAGCTCTGTCAGTTCGATGAAGAAATACGCAAATATGAAACAAGGGCATTTTATTTATGTCAAAAAAGGCACATTGCTTATCATTAAAAAGAACAAAAGAAGGCAGGAACATTAGTCAAAACAGACATTCAACACTGATTATAAAAATACCCAAAATATGGATTTTAGAAGGGTCAACCCAAAGGAAAAATTGTTATCATGCATAAAGGTGGCCTCCTGCAGATCCTGACCACAGGAACCAGCATGGAGAAAAAGTGGCATTTCTGGTTCTCCAAAAATGTCGGCTTGGGCCAAAGAAATCAGGGTCTTCCTTTGCTTTGGCCTGGTGCCAAACCAAAGTCTTCAGAATCTTCAAATCAGCGAAAACAAATATAAAATGATAACATAGGTATGGAGTACTCATGGAAACCATTCGATACAAGCTTTCATGCCTAGCTTATCAGCACTTCGATAACGAATTCTTAAACTTCCCTAGTTGTAGGATATATGCAGCTAAGCTTTACATATTTGTGGTCAAGAGATCCCAAGGGTGTTTTGGTTATTAGTTACTTACCCTAAATTTATCACTTTAAAATTCATTAAAAATGGCCTTAACAGAACATCTCACTCGAAACAATAATGCTTGAAACTCATATCCAGTGGACTTAACTCACTTATGAGACTTCAAACTACTAGTCCGAAAGACAGAAAGGAAAATGATGCAAGGAGTAAAAGGTAGGTAGTTTAGCCTGCTTTTAGGCCAAAGGCAAGCGTACTTATCTGCAGGGTACATGAGGACAGAGGCAAGAGATAAAAGATACATGTCAAAGGACTGATAAATATATACAGCTTCACCTTCATTTCAGCTTTTTCACATGGTACTAGACCAATAACAAATGATAGAGGATACTGCTCTTCAGCCAATAAGTTCCTTTACCAATAAATATTGTTTGGGCCTTGGGGTTATAAGTCTTATCATACTTTAGAGAACATGGACAAGATGATTAAATCCCCCTTTTTTTTTCTAAGCTGTTAACTTAGTATTAAGTGTAAAGAATATACAAGTTACAAAAATAGGCTAACCATAAAGGAAGCTCTTTACAAAAACCACCCGGCCGGTGGTAGTATCAAAAAATGCTATACAAGCATGTGATTACAAAAATCATAGGTCACCAAGATTACAAAAAAGTATGTGCTAAAGAGTTGCCTGAAAAGCTCCTTCCTTAGCAGGGTATCAAGCACCGGCCTCATGGATGGCCTCGCACAGGTATGCATCAATAAGACTGGAGTATGCCTGCAAATGTCAAAAATCTCGTCAAAAGCTGCTGCGAGTCTCCAAAGGGGGGGGGGGAGGGGGGGACCTCTTCTAAGGTCCAAGAAATGACTTTCAAGAGTCGCCCTCCACTATCAGAATTGGACCCGATGTGGGATTAAAGTTTATGTGGCTTTCCAAAAGAGCGAGAGCTTCCGCTGTGGTGGGTCTGCTCGGCCAATAGGAAGGGCAAAAGAGGAGAGGGAGGTGCCTTCGTGGTTTCAAAAGATGCCCCTGATACCTGCCGAGCTCGGGTTGCCAAGGGAGCAACCATCGAAATTGAGTTTGATGTGGCCTGGGTCCGGTGGAGAATCGCTGCCCAGTTAAGGTGGAAGTTGGAAGTGGAAAGGAGCTTGAAGCTGCTGTGGTTGGTGGCCCAGAAGATGACCGTGGACATGATGTCATCAATCAAGGCCCTCGGGTGAGTGATATGGCAGGTGGATAATACGATGGATGTGTTCCATCCAAGTAGTCCAAAGGGTGGCTGCAACCGCGGCTTTCCAAAGCATAGTGCCTCATTTGGGCCACAGGAAGAAGAGCCTTTGGTGGAAAAGTTCGGGGACAGACTTGGGTGTCACCCAAGTCCAATTGAACAACTTGAGAAGGTACGAGTTGGTTTCCTCACCTTCCAGATACATGGCACAGCAATTGGGGATCATCAAGCCTCTCCTTTGGAGCTGATCGATCTTTAAGGCTTTTCCCGACACAGCGATCCAGCTAAGGGCTCGGATCTTGGGGGGAGGGGGGGCGATGAAGGGAATCCAGGCTTTGGCAACAATAGAGTGTGGGTGTGAGGGGTCCTGCAGAGAGGCAGTAAGTTTATGATAAAAAGGAGGAAACTGAGAAAACACCGGAAGGGGCAGGAGACCAGATGATTTTATCCTCGCCATGAAGGGGGAGGTAAAAGGAGTGAGGAAGAGAGGAGACTTCCAGAAAGGCCTGGATCTCGTTGTCACAGAGATTTCTGCAGAAGTTGGGATTCCAGGCCCCGGAGTTCCCTTCGGGAGCAAGGAGTTCAGCAATTGAAGCATCTAGGTTTCTGGCTAGGCAAAAAAGTTCAGCAAAGCAAACCATGAGAGGGGTATAGCCAATCCAAAGGTCTGACCAAAACCTGATGCGAATATGCGATTGCCAGTTCCGGGGTCGAAACAGATGTGAGGCTTCAAGGGGTAGAGGCTGTAGAGAATAGATTTCCAAACTCCAGAGGAAGAATTTGAGGCCCTACTTGGGAGCACCCATGGAAGGGAATTAAGGCGATATACGTGACATAGGACATGTTAACGCAGTTGACAATCTTGTGTAGCTAGCGGGCACCACCAGATGTCGAGACTCGCCAAATTGTTCTTTTGTAGGCTGCATATGCTGAGATCATTCGGTCCCAATTTCAAGCAGGAGAAATGTCCAAATTTCCTAGACATTGTCAAAATAAATATATAATCCTCTATCAGATCTGAAGTTTTAGGCCAGGTTATCCACCCAAAAATGGTGCTGATCAAAGCTCATATGGCACAATTGATAAATGTCAACATGGCATCCTTGATCCCTCCCTATTTTAGGATAGTTTTCAACTGCTAGGGTCGCCAAGCCAGCAAGTCCTTCTCCCAAGTTTTGCTTAGATCCAAATTGACAATTATGACGCTCATTTCTTCTTAGACTTAGCCACGTTCAGATTTCTAATGTTGATCTAGTTGTGCAATTCAAGTGGCAATTTTTTTCATCCTCTTAGCCTTGATCCACAATATTCTCACCTAATTTTGGTCCAAAACTTAAGGTACTCAATTGTTTCATTGAAAAGAGTATGATTGTCTGGATTTTCAGTTATGCCATGTATTGTTTTCGGTCATTGCCTCCTCCTACATGAATATAGTATCAATAACAGGGCACTCGTGTCAAGGTAAATCCCTACTAATAGATCATCTTGCAAGATCATTTTATGCCTGGGGGCGCATCGAAAACCAAATGGGAAAGTCACTAATCAAAAAATAAAATAAAAAGTCCATATATGATGCTTCCAGTAGTGGTTAATGTTACCAATTTAGATTAGTGAAATCTTTTGTCAAATGAAATAATTATGGACCACCAATAGACCAATAAACTGTGGTCGTCTTGTTGTTTGGAACGCAGGATATGTGGGTGATAATGGTGTGCTATTGTCATGATTTATCAATTTTATAGTGCTTTCTATTTCCTCCAGAAACATGTCCATGCCGACAATGCAGGAGATCTGTGACTATTAGGAAGAGCCTTATTCAAGAAAATGGACTCTATTCATGTCAAAAATCATATTGTTCAGTAATATTTCTCCGTTCTTTAGAAATATAATGACATAAAGTGTAAACAGCAATGCTTAACATATTAAAGAGCAAAAGGTTATGATAAGTGGATTACTCCACATTTTGTATGATCAATAGCCATATTTGATACATAGTTGTAGAGATGTACATGATCTCCATACATAAATCAGATACAAAGTTGTGAGAGGAAAGTAAATCATATACAAAACTATGAGAGTAGATTGAGTATGAGATGTTTGACAAGTGAGTTTCTCCCTGATCCTGCACTTACAAAATAATTGGTTAAGCCAATATATTCTGTCCAGATGCTCTTGAACGCAACAGTAAGTTTGGAACTTACATCAAATATTTATCAGAAGATTGATGCTAATCTCCATAGGCACTCTACCTTTGGCTTGCCCAAACAAATAGGCTTAATCACCATTAATAATGATTCAAGTCCAGTTCTTCTCTAAGTAAACATAGACCAAGACTTGTTAATTAAGCTTTTAAAATTAGATTAGCTTGATCTTCATCAAGTTCCGGCCACGGATGGAGCAAGTTTACAAAATTTTGCCTTTATGATTTCTTAAAACCCTCACAAAGTGCAGCATGGATTGGCTTTGGAGCTTCCGTCAAAATTCAACTTTACCTTACCCCCAGAAGGAGGCTCTCATGTGGATTACCTAGCATATTAATTATAGGTAAAACCCGCTGTTTCCCCATAATTCAGAGATAGAGATTGCCCATGAGATGGCTGGTCCTTAATCTTCTGCCTCAGTACTTGTAGATTGACAGATTTACCTTTAATATTTCCCTGTTATGTTCCAACTAGTGGATTACCTTGAAATACTCCACATTGGCAAATAGCGCCCATGCGATGATCTAGTCTTTAATCTTTCTGCCCCAGTACCTATAGAATGAGAGATGTAACTCTGAATACTCCACACTATTTGTTGGGGGAGCATTTTCATCCCATTGGAAATAAAGATTGTAATAAGTGTGCATTGTGCAATTGAAAGATTGGGCATTGACAATATGTAAGGTCTAGGTCGACATAAGGTCTAGTCACCAGTCCGCGAATTCATAGAGCCACATATGAAGGAACTCTTGTTTGTCCAATAAGTGCTTTATGTGTATATTTCCCATTATTGTGATCTTCCTTTTGCAAATATATGCAAGTGCTTGGGGACCTCCTCCGTACATTGAACACAAGTACTTACTTCATTTACATTACTCATGAACACATGCATGTGGCTTGGCTATAAATCCCAAAAATGGAAAATGGGGTTGCTTATGTTCTTATTGCCTTCTCTCAAATCAGTGGTACTCAATAATACCTTTTGCGGCCATAGCGCCAAAAAATATCAGAAGAAATGTCTTGGTGATAGAGACTTCAAAAGTAAAGTGAATCCTCACCCCTAGGCTATCTGCAAATATGCTGTCCATACATCAAAAGAATGTACTTATGAAAACCTTTATATACTCAAGTTCATGCACTATTTTTACCTTCCTAGAATTCTGAGATAAATTTGACACCTACCAAGTGGTTTTCCAGAGGTATCCATCATTTTAGCAATGATAAATATATTCTTCTTTTTTATTATTATAAATTCATATGCAAAAATAAAGGGAGCCCTTGACAATGACAGAACGGTTAGCATTCACATGAAAAAATCACAGAAATAGGTGAAAATGGCAATCCCCAACAAGTTAAGGTAGTAGTATATTCAAATATCCTCTCGAGGATTTTCACTGGGATACATCGCAATTGATAGCAAGAAATTGATAGCGTTACAACTCCGGAGGAGTTGCATTGGAGATGGAGCATAGTACCCCTAGAGATCATCAAAATCAATTATTTATCACAGCATTGCAGGTTCATTCAACAATTTACTAGACAAATGAATGCAATCAAACCTATCTCTATTCCTGACACTAGCATTCACCCTAACAAGTAAACTGGTACAAAAATGATCTTTTAAATGTTTCTCAACAGAAAAATGAAATATCCTTTTTCTTAATTGTAACAAAAGTAATATATTCCAAGCATCAATTTGCGATAGTTTGATCACAATGCCAGTTCAAACAACCTGCAATCCAGCACAATCGAACAAACTCTATCACTAAACCTAACAAGTAATCACAAAAAAAAAAAAAATTCTTTTTGTTTTAGCAATTAGGAAATAATGATCTTTTGAATTTTTTTAAACAAAAAATATCTTTTAATCATTGACTTTTCCCACATAAACCATATTTACTACAATTCCCTACCGGAAAACCATATTTTCTAAAAAAAATCAAACGTTAAAAGAAACCATAATTTCTATGAATTTCTTTAATTTATATAATTTTCTATCATAAACCAATATCTTCACATGGTCAATTCAGCATATTCGGATAGTTAAATCAAACAATAAAAGAAACCATAATTTCTATGAATTTGTTTAATTTATATAATTGTCTATCATAAACCAATATCTTCATATTGTCAATTCAGCATATTCTGATAACTATCCCAGTTCTCAAGTTGAAATATGATGAGACCAAACAGACTCTCAGATGTAACACTAACGTTATCCATCACACACAAGAAACAAGATCCCACGAGACTTGTAGTCAACATAGATTATTTCTTGCAAAGACCAGATCTTGTGAAAGTTGATTTATGGATGCTCCCACAACAATGCTGGTTCACACCAAAAAAAGTAAATCAATTCTAACTATGGTGTTTGTCTAGAGCCTAGGCTCTAAACAATCCAATTAGAGCTTACCTTCAAATAGTGTCGAGGAATGTGGTTTTAATACTGGAAATTTTTTTGATAGCCTTAAATATATTTTCATATTTATTTATAAAGTTTAAAGCTTCAAAAAAAGTGTAGATCGAGATATCTATGAAAATCTTTAAAATTGACTGTCCAAAATTGTCTTACAAAATACACTATTTCCAAAACTTGAATTCCATTTTTTTTTCTCATGTCCATGCATCTTGATGTCTAGATGATCAATTTGAGGATATTTGGGCATCAAAACTAACTCTTTTCTAGTGAAAGTTTTGAGGTAAGCTCGAATTTGATTGTTTAGAGCCTCGGCTCTATATAAACTTTTCCCTTCTAAAAATCCTTCAGAAAACCAACGAGATCCATGCAGAGTAACATCCATTGACAAAACAAGTTGATGATAGAAACCCTACAACCAAATCCAGACTGATATAAAAGAACAGTGGTAGCAATCTGGGAAAAAATTGGAAGAATCAGAAAAGAAAACCCATCTTGACAAAGCAATGTCACTAAAACAAACACTCAGATCCACTATAGAAACCCGGAAACCGGCAATCGATACAATGCCACTCACTAGAAAGCCTAGATCTGGCAATGTTTCACTCCCAACTGATCAGTTGCCAAAATGTTGTTTATTAAGCACCAGATCCACACAAAATTCCCCATAATTATCCATAAAATGTCAAAAAAAGAAGAAGTAAAATACCTCCAAAATGACCCTTGGTGAATGGCCGATGCCTTGGAAAAAATGGAGGTAACCAGAACATGGAGGAGAGAAGAACAGAAACCCCAAGAAACAAAAGAAGGAAGCATCTGAAACTAATAAATCCTTTACACGCTTCACAGCCATGGCTGAGCTCTTCTCGCACAAAGACATCAATGGAAAGCACCCCTTGCTCCTCTTCAGCCTTGCCCATGGCGAAAACATCCCTTTTTACACTAGAATTCCAAAACCTCAGGCCTCCACGGCCATGAGAGTCCTCTCTGGTGTGCCCATTGCCAAGACATGAAGCCTTTTTTTTTTTCCTTTTTTTGCTCTGAAATTTCTGGTAACTTAGGGTTTCAGGCAGGCGTTAAGGAGGATCAATCCAAGCAGTTGCAGAGAATGGGGTCATGGGTTTTTTTTTTATTTCTAGGGTTTCACAATGGCTTTTGGCAATGGCCTTTACTGAGGCTTTGACAGATCTTAATGAGATTGTTTAAGGAGGGAAATTGGTGTTTGCGTTCAGAGTTTTAAAAAGTAGAGAGATAATGGAAGAGAGATTGTGAGATAGAGAGAGAGGTGGATTGAGGATAGAGAGAGAGAATGGAAGAGGACACGAAGGGCTTTAGAGAGAGAGAGGGTAGAGTGAGAGGAAAAAGACTTCTAGAGAGAGAGTGGGTCGTGTGTGAGACAGAGCTTTAGAGAGAGAGTGTGTGTGAGAAAGAGTTTTAGAGAGAGAGTGGAGAGGAGTTCTAGAGAGAAGAGTTAGAGTAGAGTGAGCGGAAATGGACTTTAAGAGGGAGTGTCCGAGAAAGAGTTTTAGAGAGAGGAGTTTGAGTAGAGTGAGAGGAAAAGGACTGTTAGAGAGAGAGTTTGTGAGAAGGAGGTTTAGAGAGAGAGTGGACTGTTAGAGAGAGAGAGTTTGCGAGAAGGGGGTTTAGAGAGAGAGTGGACTTTTGGAGAGAGAAAGTAAAAGCTGAGAAGGGAGGGTAGAGTGAGTAGGAAGGACTTTTAGAGAGAGAAGTAGGGTGAGATTGGAGTTTTAGAGAGAGAGAGGGTGGAGTTTAACTTTTTATATTTGTTATCAATTATTTATGGTGTGGACCTTTTGTGTTGGAGAAGCAAGTAGAAGTGGTGGCTTAGATTTTCACTTTGTTAAGAAATCAAGAATTTGAAGGTTGAAGTTTTTGACTTTATCAAGAAAAATACGGCATGCTTATCGGATAGCACTTTCTCTTTCTAACGTAAGCACTCAAATATACCTCAAATTGTGGCACTCTCTCTCTCTAACATTCAACCAATTAACTCATTTTCTCTCTCTATATTCGACCAATTAACTCATTTTCTCTCCCTACAGTCAACCAATTAACTCATTCTCTTTCTAACATTCATCCAATTAACTCATTTTCTCTCTCTACATTCAACCAATTACTCATTCTCTCTCTAAAATTCAACCAATCAACTCATTTTTTCTCTCTTATGGATGTCTCCTATTCTATCTATAAGTCCATTTTAAAAAAGCCAACTCCTCAACTATTTGAAATAAATAAGTGGCGGTCGATCTTCACTACTGAATTACCAAAAAAAAAAAAAATACTATAGGGCATTTTTTCCTTCCCAACTTTATGAAGAACATTAGGGCATATTTGATTGGCAGAACTATCCAGAGTATTCTACATAATCTCCCTTCTATGTTTGATTACCCCTTTGTTTGAAGCCGTAAGGTTACGTTTCACTTTAAGGCTTCCAACAAAGCATGAAAGGTCTCTTGATTATAAGCACATTTGGCATGCGCCACATGAAAGAATTCCCCCATGATACTAGACTTGGGAGTTTTTCTCATACTACATGGCCGCCAAGTTGGTGTGGAAAAATGCATTGGGACCAATTGGCATAATCATATGGGGGAGTTCTTTCGTGTGAAAATGCTTTCATAAATATATTTTTCATGCATAGCAAACGTGTTTTATTTCATGTTAGTTGCAACTTTCAGATTTTGTGGAAATGGTAATCAAACATACCCTGAGATTTTTTCTCTTTGTATGCTACAAGGCTATCGATGGTTCGATCAAACCAACTGAAGATATTGAGGACTGCCAGGACCAAGTCGGGCCTAATAAATTCAAAGGAAAAGAAACAAAAATAAGGAAAGAAAGATGGTTGGGCTATGGCGACCCAGTCATGGACATCGCCTTAGCACAAAGCCCTTAGTCTTTCAAGGTTAGGCTGACTAGGCCGCACTTGAACACATGGCTCATTGTCAGGCCTGACTATTTGGATTCAATCCGCATCAAATCGTCTCTTTTTCTCTCTTTTGCTTCAAAATGTGTGTATGCATGTGTGTATATATACAGAAAGGGTTAACTTCGGGCAAAGTTTTAGAACTTCAAACTTCATAGAGATGAAAGAAATTTTCAAACCATCATATGAGTTTCTGATTTTATAACTAGATTTTCTAATGAGATTTTGTAGCACAACTGCACTTTTTATCACATCGCCCCAACCTTAATACTCACTTTTATATTTTTTTAATATTTTTTAGAAAATTTAAAAAATAGAGCTAGGAAAATATAAAATAGGTTAAAATCCATTCTTTTCATTAATTTTCAACTTCATTTGAATGTGTTTTGCTTTAATCATTCTTTATATGATTTTCATTTTTTATTAGATTTTTGTTCTATGTTTTTATTTTTTTAACACTTGTTTGACAGCTCGGAACTTCCCCAGTTAGAGCGGTTGAATCAACCGGTTTATCGGTTAGGCCGGTTAAGCCGCTTCCAGGCTTAACCGTTCCGGTTTGATTTTGCGAACACTGTTCCATACAAATCCATTGCGACAATGCTCAAGAAATTGATTGCTGTTAGATTCAAATCAAAAGGTTTGTTGAATATTTGGCTCTCTTTTCTTCACAATGGTCTAGATGTTATGGGAGGAATGAAACCACCGAGTCTTTTAGGGGAAAATATCTAAACGTGAACACTTGTTCAATAAAATCACCTCTCATGTCAAAGATATGGCGAATGCCAAAACCTAGCCCTTCCACTTGCCAGATAAAGTCTGGCCCTTCCACTTGTCAGATAAAGCAATAGTAGACAACTTCTAAATCAAGTGGCTTTGGTAGAAAGTCAAAACCCCCATTTCGGTTGCATTGTCTTTCCCTCATCCTAACCATTTAAAATTAAATATTGATGGGGCTTCACTCTAGAATCTTGGGCCTGCAGGTGGTGGAGGCGTTCTTAGAAGTGATAATGGCTCCTTTATTGGTGTGTTTGCCAAAACCTTAGGAATAGCATCAAACAATTTTGCAAAGTTCTATGCCTTGCAAGTAGGGGTGGACTTGGCCATCTAACTTAACTATTTTCCCTTACAGATTGAGAGTGACGCCTCATTATAAATCAATCTAATCCATGAGATCAATATAATCCATGACCGATGCAAAGCTCCATGGGCACTCAATATTGTTGATGCTAATTGTTGTCATAAACTTTTGGATCATGCTTGGTCCCTAGACCATATATTTCGTGAGGCAAATATGATGACTAATGCACTCGTCAAGAAAGCCACAGCTTTTTCAGAGGGCACTGTTTGGCAATCAAAACTACCGGATTTTATTTCTCTTGCATTACTTCATGATGTGGCACAAGTCCCCTATTCTAGAGTTGTAAATTTATGAGCTGTATCTTTTCTTTTTCATTGTTAATAAAAATCGGGTATGGGGGTTTTCTCCTTCAATGACTTACCAAAAAACAAAATGGTTATAAGGCTTCAAATCTTGAAAATATGAACTAACTTTGGAATGTAAAATTCCCATGTCTCTGCATCTGCCAAGCTCACAAGCCTGCTGATTGTAAACTTCCGATTGTAAAATTATGAAGTTTTTATCTTCATATAGTAAGCATGCGGGCTAGCTTACGGGCAATAGAGAATTTTCACAAACTAACTTCAGATTTTGAGAATCCAGCGTAACAACAGTTTGGAAAAAAAATTAAAATTAAAAAAAGTATGAACTTAATATTCAAATTTTCAAATATATATATATATTTTTAATAGTGGTAATAAAAAAAAGGAAATTATCATAAATATACTTTAATTTAAGTTTAATTGGAAAAAAAAAAACCCCACACTTTTGTTTATCTTGTCTGCATCCTTTTTCCTCATTTTCGTTTTTTTTTTTTTTACCAAAATGACTTTCACGGTAGTCGTATTACTTTAATGGTTAGTGCATATTATATGGTACTTTAAGTACCGTAATACTTAGGGAATTTTATAGAGTACTTTTAGTACCGTAATACTGAGGCATTTTATTACATTAAACCTTATACGATATTTTAAGTATCGTAAATATTAACCCATGTTATATGACGCTTAAAATTCTGTAAAATCTTTTCTCATTATGTTTATCTCTTTCATCTCTAAGTTTTTTTATGTTTATCTATTCTTCCTCTCTCTAATTCCTTTTAATATTTATCACTTATTTTTCTCTCTAATTCTTTTTTTTTATCTCTAATTTCTCTCTCTACAATCTCATCATTGTTTCCTTAGAGAGAGTAATCAAACCCTGACTTCGACTATGCAAAACAAAGGACATGATCTATCTAAGGAAACGATGATAAGATTGTAGAGAGAGAAAGAAGAGATAAAAAATAAATAGAGAGAGAACGCAGAGATAAATATTAAAAAGAATTAGAGAGAAAGAATAAATAATTAGATATAACAAAGATAAATATAAATAGGATGAGAAAAGGATTTACGGCATTTTAAGTGCCGTATAAGATGGGTTAGTTTTTACGGTATTTAAAATGCCGTATAATGGGTGTTAATTTTTACAATATTTAAAGTACCATAATTGGCTTCACGGTATGACCAGAGTTTTACGATACTTAAAGTACCATAATATTATTTGAAGTTACTACGGTATTTTAAGTACCATATAAAATGATATGTATTACGGTAGTAAGACTACCGTGAAGGTCATTTTGGTCTAAAAAAAGCCAAAAATGATGAAAAATGTCATAGACGAGATAAACGAAAGTTTAGGATTTTTTTTCTAATTAACTTTAAATTAAGGTATGTTTGTGATAATTTCTCTTAAAAAAAAAAACATGCGCATAAGCTGATCAAATTAGTTGGTGGGTGCGGTTTGTATAGAGTCGAGCTGAGGCTCTAAACAATCAAAATAGAGCGCACCCTCAAATAGTGTCGAGAAATGTGGTTTCAACATTAGAAATCTTTGTGATAGCCTTAATGTATTTTCATAACTAATTATAAAATTTAAAGCTTCAAAGATAGTGTAAATCAACCAAATCTATAAAAACTTGAAAATCTTGAAAATTGACGGTCCAAAAATATATTACAATATATACTATTTCTAAAACTTGAAATCCATTTTATTCTCATGTCCATGCATCTTGAGGTCGAGATGATCAATTTTATGATATTTGAGCATCAAAACAACCTATTCTAGTGAAATTTTTGAAGTGCACCCTATATAAACGTTTTCCTTAGTGGGGTTAAAATATTTGTCTCCAAATCTCTCTCTCTTTTCCATGCCAAGGCAACATCATTCTCTCTCTCCACACGTGTGTTTTTTTGTTTGCTTCTTTGTGTGCTTGGTATTTA